TTGAGTTAAAAATTTTGATTTTTTTTTCAGCGAATCGTGGCTTAACGTTAGTATTCGTTGAAACGAAACGGGGTGCGAATGAGCTGGCATGGTATTTGCAACGTAAATATTACAATGTTGTACCGATTCATGGTGATTTGAAGCAGTGCGATCGTGAACGTCATCTCGAATTGTTCCGTAGTGGAGAGGCCAACATTTTGGTCGCTACGGCTGTGAGTTTTCAATTGTTTCGTGACAATTTTCAGGATATTCTTATGAGGAAGTTAAGTAGCGCATTCGTTGAGTTTTCAACTGTGAAGTTCATTTCTAACATACTTCTTCTAGCGTATTTGCAGAGCTTAAAAATTAAATGAATAATTGTTCGTTTGGTCGCTGTATCAAATAATTTTAAGATTGTTATTGTAGTCATATAAGAACATAAGAGGGCATTGTAGTGGTCGTGTATGATAACTTGGTTGGTTTGATTATTTACGTGATTCTGGTGGGATACGACGGTGTGAATTTCAGGTAGCTGCACGTGGTCTAGACATTCCGAACGTNGATTATTTACGTGATTCTGGTGGGATACGACGGTGTGAATTTCAGGTAGCTGCACGTGGTCTAGACATTCCGAACGTGAAGCACGTGATCAATTTCGACTTGCCAACTGATATCGATGAATACGTGCATCGTATCGGTAGAACTGGTCGAGTGGGAAACGTCGGCCAGGCCACGTCGTTCTTCAACGACAAAAATCGTAATATTGGGCGTGATTTGGCTGAGTTGTTGGTTGAATCAAACCAAGAGATGCCCGATTGGTTGGACGGTATCGCCAAAGAGGGTGCAATCAAATCGAGTGGTTCACGTTTCGGACACCGTGGAAAGGGAGGCGGGTATGTGCTGCTTGATGATATCGATGTCGGTGTTGATAGCGATAGAAATAGAGACCGTGAAAACAACTGTGCTTATTGTTTGTACATGTCTTCTGATGCGATGTTATTGTTCGCATCTGTTTGATTTGCTGAAGAGTTTTATGAAACAGTGAAGTTAGTGATAGATAGATTGCAGTTTTGATAACGGCAGGAACGCAGTGCAGAAGAACTGTATGAATATAGTAATCAGCGATGTGGTCATTTAACGTTTACTGCGTTGAAATGTTTTTTTTTT